GTCAGTAGGTGTTTCATGGACACCTCGGTTAGTGACTGTTCTGTCGCTGGAAATGCGTCAATATCTGGCAAATTTAATGTAGTAGGAGGAGGTATGGTGTTTAGGGCTTGAAATGGTATGTCAGAGTCCTGGTCCAGCCGTGGCCTGGATTTGGCAGGGCTGCTAGTCGTGGGGGACAGAGGGGGTGACAAATCACCAGGATCCCCTGGGTAGAGTGATGCTTGCAGCCTCGGATCCCTGTGCTGGGCCCTGTAGTCCTCCTCGTGGCTGCTGTCTCCCTGTGAGTCTCTGCTGCGGGCGCCATCTTGGATTCCCTGCACAATAGCAGGGAAGAACTTTGTCAGTTTCCCGGGGTGATCCGGGGCTCTCCGTCTGCGGGGCATGGTGATCGGGATGTGGGCAGAGGCAGGTAAGCTTGCGGGGAGGTTTGTTTCCCCCGGGGCCGGTTAGTGCCGCTTTAGTGCCGCTTTATAGTTTGGCGGGTGGATGGAGCTGAGCTCAAAGCGCGTCCATCCCGCAGCCGGCCGTGCATGCGCCCCCTAGTTGTAAATTTTAGACATCTGTCTTGGGAAATGTGGATTAATTCTTCGATCTCCTCTGTACGGTTTAGTCTTTGCTTCACTCCTTCACTGTCTGGGTGTGGTCTGAGCGCCAATGGCATGGTATGCACTGTCTAGCACTATTGACCATGAACATAACGAGCGATTTAAAGTATGTTTTTTCTGGATAAAGACATGCAATAAGTTTTGCGCAGGAGAGTAGTGCACAACATCAGTTGTAACCATTTTAATAATCTTGTGCGTTTTCTCCCAAATTGGTTGCAACTTTGGTCACATACACCAGATGTGCAAAAGGGAACCTTCATCCATATTACATCTCCAGTAGAGATTGGCAAGTGAGTGATATAACTTATTGAAAGTGTAATAGAGAGGGGTCCTTTACTACTGGGTGAACAGCTTGTACCCGTCTTCCTGAGTTGCTGTATTAAGGGATCATTTGTGAATTTATGTACGGAGTGACTCCCATTCTTCCACTGAGAACTGTACCTCTAGGTCTCTTTCCCATGCCAAACAGGCAGAGCTGGTAAATGCAAATTGTCATGCAAACAAAGATGACACTGAGTGACGCTGAGGGTGCTTTTTACAAAGGGACTGCAGTGGGGTAAGTGACCTAGCTCACCGGAGTGCACAACCCTGTGGATTTAGGTAGTTCCTTATTTGTAAATAAGACCAAAGTGGTAACTTATGTTGGACAGTGAGGGAACTTATCTCCTCATAGCTAAGAATTCTCCCCTGATGGGAAAATGTAAGACCAAATCATCTTTATGAGGCCAAATGCATCTCAGAAAAGTTGTTGACATTCCCATAGAGAAATCAGGGTTAAGAAGTAAAGACAATAGCAGCCCCGGAAAAGCCACTTCTGGAGTTGACCCATATACTCGATGCAGGGCCACCAACGGAGAGTGCAGCAGGGGATACAACTGCATCACTTTTGGGATATTGCGTGGTATGAAAGCCAGGGAATCAAATGCAAGGGTAGGGGTGAGAGTGACTCACCCAGTCTTTGAGGGGTTCATGGATTGATCAGTCCACTATTCTGTTGACCAAGCTTGCCCAATACTATTTCTGAAGGTCTGGTAGATGACTGGTCGAATGAAATTCTAACAGTGTATGGCCAATTTAAGAGGCAGATTTAAAGCCTGAAAGCAAGACATTTTGTTTTACCTTGCTTATTAGGTAAATTGTAACTATACATACTAAGAGTTCAAGTATTCTGTTATGACCTTTCATCTGTATTATGCTTTAAATTTACCTCAACTGTTTTAAGCTTCATAGTTTTTTGTATTCATTTCCTGCATTAAAAAGATTTTCAACTCAATCATTTTAGAAATGACTCGGAAATTACTCAAGCTCATAGTATAGCACTGCACTGGTCAGACAGGAGGGTCTTGGGTGTGCAGGTGCTGACATCTATCTCCTATGTCTAAGACAGGGTTTTGTCAAGGGGGGTTGCAGGTGTGGCCTCTGACATCACCATAGGGCTGCACATAATGTTCAATGTATGTAATGCTTGAGAGGACTTTTAGAAACTACAGACCTAATAGAGTAAATGAAGATCAGAGAGTGTGGACTTGCTACATTTTTCGCTAGGGATATGCTGCAGAAGACAATATGAAGCTGGGAACGTGTTGCATGAGACTAGTAAAGATCAATACAATTAACCTAAACAATGTTCACACTACAAACTACTGATGCCCAAAGGCTGCATGTGGCTCTAGGCCTAGGCCAGAAGCTAAAAGTTTTCAATACAGAATATTTATAGCACAATGTAACCAAAAAGCTTCTGTTTACATGGAAAATCTGAAATAACATCTATGTGATATCTTTAGGACCCCCTATTTGCTTTAGTAGCTGTTTTGAAGAAAGTATGAAGCTAAAGATGATTGTCCTAAGAATATGAAAATATACAAAGTAAGGGCATATTGAACAGTTATATTTTATAATGTTATAGGGTGGTGGTTAGATATGATAAGTGTTACATTGCTTTCTTGTTACCCATAGCTATTAAACAGCTTCCACCTGTCATTTCTGCAGTGTTAAAATCAATAGAACCACTCTGATTGGTTCTTATGAGCAACAGTTTTCTTGCTAGCACACATTTCATGCATAATCCTCATAGAAATTTAATCCTCGAGGAAAAATGGTCTCACTTTGACTTTTCTGGAAGTTCAATGGCACGAATACTTCGATTATAGTATCTTTCATATAATAACTTTATTTCTCATAAAGGGATGATAATTATTACTTTTATATGCATGGCAAAGTTCTGTAAAGCTCTTTCAGGAACCAGCGTCTTTTATCATTTTAAGCTGAAATATATTAAGGAGAAGAATTGTAGGAGGTTAAACATTCTAAGTTATGGATTTTCAATTGTCAATTAACAGATCTCTCCAGTGACAAGTGACACTTGTAGCAGATTTTGAGCGTAATGAGCCACTTACTGTAAAATAGCAATAACAGAGCAAACAGTCTAATCATGGCCTTAGCTCCAGCCATGCTTGATTGATACTAGAATGCAAATTATTAGAATTTAGCAACAGAATTACAGACAGTGGTGCAATATCATCAGACTATCACGAGGCTGGATGTCTCGGAAAAATAGCTGTTGTATTGAACTTCTGAAGTTATTTCACTAGTTTCACTTTAGTTATTCACAGATCATAGTCACAGGAAATTAGGATTTGTTCATACATGTTGTGTTTATCACAAGACCAACATTTTTACTTTAAAACCAGTATGTGGGTTTGCTTTCATTCCTTTCGGCTGAAGGCATGCAAACATTTGTTTTATTTAGTCATAAAAGAATCTATGAACCCAAAAGTATCTGTAGATGATCTGTTATAAATACTATAGCTGCCCATAAACATGAGTAGGCAAGTTGAAAGATCCGAAGAAAACAAATTCTCTTGCGCTCTAGCACCCAGCCTGGGGTAGATAGATGCAGCCCAGACTTGGAAGTTTCTACCACCAGTGCATATGGGGTTGTGCAGCTCCAAACAAGGCTGGGGAAGCCTGACCAATACTGAAAAGCAAAAACAAACAAAAAGCGCACCAACCTTGCGCACTACCTCAGTAAGCCAAAATTTATTGATAACAGAATAATACTCACAAACACTGAAGTAAATCATGCATGTCAGTCCTCAAAGGGACTAAGGATAAAAGCAGCCTGAGTGAGTCCCATCAGAAGAGTGGACACTCAGGGAACAGTTGACGCTCTTCGAAGGAGGATAGATCCCGCGCCAGACCCAAAAAGATACCTTCTGCCGATAGAGGGTCAAACCGAATACATTACTGATTGCTTTCAATTCACCCCAACAGGATACTCCGATGAAAGCATTGCCTGCGGATGGTGCTAAAGTGGCTTCACGGTGGCTGTGCTTTAAGACGACACCATGCTGGCCATAGGGAAGGAGCATTAAAAATGACCAACTGTTCAAATGCCTCAAAGGTTCGGCTGCATTATTCCAAATGATTTGAAGAGGAATTCATCCACTGAATCTACACACAATCTGAAAGATCCAACAGCCCTATCGTGACTTTGTGGCATGAACAAAAATACTCTCAGTGGCTGCATAGGCATGGTTTTGAACTGAACAGACATCCCTAATGACATTTTTACCATTCTGTCATCAGGCACCAAATGAATCAAAATAATAACTTTATAAGAAATAGTCATTTGTATGATTTTGAGATATAGAGGTAAAAGGTTTTGAAATGTTAGTACTAAACAGGAATAAATTAGTGATGGAAGATAACTCTCCAACAAAAGCTAAAGATACTCTTATCACCAGGCAAAACTTACTGTTTTCTATTTACTGACATCAGCTTTATTCAGCAGCCCATTGCTTCAAGGCTGTAATTATCTTAAATGTATTACTCCTTCTCAGGGCTGTATGCAGACATGATATCTTTTCTACAAGCGCTGCCTTTTTGTCACGTGATTATTTTAGTAAAATCTAAAACCCCGTACACACAATGAGAATATCCGATGAATGATCATCTATTTTTTGCATGCTAGTCTCACATCGATAGTGAAGAGGTTACTAAAGTTGCGAAATTCTTGTACGACAGAATAATAATTCAGAAGTGATCTAATGTATTGTTTTGTATTTGTATTGAATTTTTGGACAAAATCTGTACTGATTAACCACTAGCCTACAAGGCACTTATACCCCCTTCCTGCCCAGGCCTATTTCCAGCTTTCAGCGCTGTCGCACTTTGAGTGATAATTGCGTGGTCATGCAACACTGTACCCATATAAAATTTTTATCATTTTTTTTTGTGACAGATAGAGCTTTATTATGGTGGTATTTAATCACCTCTGGGTTTTTTTTATTTTTTCTTGAACAAACCAAAAAGCACTAAAAATTTTGAAAAAAAAAAAACGTTTTTTTTCTTCATTTTTGTTATAAAATTTTGTAAATAAGTGATTTTTCTCATTCACTGATGTGCACTAATGAGGCTGCAATGATGGGCACTGATAGGCTGCACTGATGGACACTGATAGGTGGCACTGATTGGCACTGATGAGGAGGCACTGGTAGGTGGTACTGATGGGCATTGACAGGCATCACTGATGGGCATTGAAAGGCAGAACTGATACAAGGCACTGATATATGGCACTGACTGGCACTGATAGGCGGCACTGACTGGCACTGATAGGCGGCACTGACTGGCGCTGTTAGGCGGCATTGACTAGCACTGACAGGAGGCACTGATGCGCACTGATGCGCACTGGCTGGCATTGATAGGTGGCACTGACTGGGCTGATGGGTGACATTGAAAGGCAGCTAGATGGGCACTGATACTGGCACTGATGGGTGTAGGCATTGATATGTAGCATTGATGTGGCTCTGATGGGCACTGGCACGAGGCACTGATGAGCACTGACACAAGGCACTGATGGACACTGACAGGTGGCACTGCCGGGGCTACACTGATCATCAGGGCACACTGATCATCAGTGCCCTGATGATCAGTGTACATGCCCCCTCCGCGGAAATCCAATTATCGGCTCTCCTCTCCTCTCGAGCTGTCAGCGTGACAGCTCGAGAGGAGAGAAATGCCGATAACCGGCATTTCCCTGTTTACATGTGATCAGCTGTGATTGGACACAGCTGATCACATGACTGAGCCGACATCTTCAGCTCTTTCCGTGATCAGTGATCCGTTGTGTCCGAGGGACACAGCGCACCTCCGATCACCTCGCTCCCTGAGCCGTGCATGCATGTTGAGAATAGGAGGACGTCATATGTCGTCCTCCCAGAATGAGAGAACCACCTTGCGTTTGTCATATTACTATATGGCGGGCGGGAGGTGGATAAACAAAAATTGTACAATCTGGTATCGTACAAGAATAATTTTCATGCTTGTCCCTTCAAATAATTTTCGGACATAAGCTGTGTACTAACTATTATCGTACAATCGCTTAGAAAGTGCTATTTTTCAAACAATTTTCTGATCGTGTGTACTAGGCTTAACAGTAGAAAGTACTACTGGAGGATGTATGCTACAGATCAGCAAACAAAAAGGAAGAGAAGATTTTATGTTTGTGGAAGTCTTATGACTCCTCTTGCCCTTTAAAACACTTCTACAACAATTAATTTGCAGCGTTTAGCTACAAATGTTCAGAGGCAACCGAAAAAAGGAAGCAACATAAGAATTATTATAATTTGTAAATGTTGAGGCCTGGTACTACCCAACCCCTATACCAGGCATCACTATGTGTATAAACGTGTTTTGACCAATAGATCGTCTTCAGGAAGTACTTCCTGAAGATGATCTATTGGTCGAAACGCATTGAGGGTTTATGATGTCACTTCTGGTATTTGGAACGCATGCTGGAACGCGACGGCCATCTTAATACCCATTCATAATATACAAAGTTCTATACAGTTTTACACTATGGGATGTCTGGTTTTGTTTGAATTTATGCTGAAAATATGAAATACTGCCTGTGGAGGAGTGGAGTTTTCTAATATTAATGCAGTCCTAGTGGAAAGTTATCGGTTACTGCCAGCAACCACGGTTCAGAGGGTGAAGGAATATCGGCCATCAGGAGCAGATTGCATACTGGGATAGTCCCAAAAGCGAGTGTGACTTACCTAGAGATAGGTGGTCATGAAATGACGGTGCGTTTACATCTATGTGGGGCACCAGTGTGAACACAGTGAAGCACTTGTCATTTCAGTATGGAGGTTCACCGTTAAAGATACAGCACCATTGTGCTAATTATTCACATGTTGGGACTGAATACTAATATTGTATTTGAATTTTGTTCATTGTTATCATTTTAATTGCACATTTCATTTAGTTGATCTGTAACCTTAGCGCGGTCCATTTTGAAATATATATACAGTTGTGGCCAAAATTATTCAACCCCCAATGCTGTAAAGGGGTTTAGGGACTATATGTGTACATTTGGAATTGTATTCAGAATCAAATCCTACAAGGACGTTGTAACTACCCAAATGCAACTAAAATGACATCAATTGTTTATGTAATACAGTGAGTAAATGGTTCTTATGTGGTTTCTTCATTGCCACAATTATTCAACCCCTTAAAGACTACCACTCTGAAGAACAGAGGTTCATACAGGTGCTTTCCATCAGGTATTGAAAACACCTGTGGATGTCACCGAGCAGCAATCAAGCATAATAAGCACCAATTAGGCAGCTTTAAAATGACTGTGATACTCAGCTCCTTCTAGACATTTACTGGTGTGGTTACAAACATGGTGAAGGCAAGAGAATGGTCCAGGAAGACAAGAGAAGAGGTGATTTCTCTTCACAGGAAGGGCAATGGCTATAAGAAGATTGCAAAGATGTTAAACATACCAAGAGACACCTTAGGAAGCATCATTCGCAAATTCAAGGCAAAGGGCACTGTTGAAACGCTACCTGGTCGTGGCAGAAAGAAGATGCTGACTTCGACTGCTGTGCGCTACCTGAAGCGTAGAGTGGAGAGAAGTCCCCGTGTGACTGCTGAGGAACTGAGAAAAGATTTGTCAGATGTGGGTACAGAAGTTTCAGCCCAGACAATAAGACGCACACTGCGTAATGAAGGCCTCCGTGCCAGAACTCCCAGGCGTACCCCCTTGCTGTCTCCAAAGAATAAGAAGAGTCGACTGCAGTATGCCAAAAGCCATGTGGACAAACCACAAAAGTTGTGGGATAGTGTTCTGTGGACTGATGAAACAAAATTAGAACTGTTTGGGCCCATGGATCAACGCTATGTTTGGAGGAGGAAGAACAAGGCCTATGATGAAAAGAACACCTTGCCTACTGTGAAGCATGGTGGAGGGTCAATCATGCTTTGGGGCTGTTTTGCTTCTGCAGGTACAGGGAAGCTTCAGCGTGTGCAAGGTACCATGAATTCTCTTCAGTACCAGGAGATATTGGATGGAAACGTGATGCAGTCCGTCACACACCTGAGGCTTGGGAGACGTTGGACCTTTCAACAGGACAATGATCCCAAGCATACCTCCAAGTCCACTAGAGCATGGTTGCAGAGGAAAGGCTGGAACATTTTGGAGTGGCCATCGCAGTCACCAGACTTAAATCCGATTGAGAACCTCTGGTGGGACTTAAAGAAAGCAGTTGCAGTGCGCAAGCCTAAGAATGTGACTGAACTGGAGGCCTTTGCCCATGAAGAATGGGCGAAGATACCCGTAGATCGCTGCAAGACACTTGTGTCAAGCTATGCTTCACGTTTAAAAGCTGTTATAACTGTAAAAGGATGCTGTACTAAGTACTAAGATTGAATGTCACTTGGGGGTTGAATAAAACTGATAATGCTGTGAGCACAGAAAAGACATTTGTGGTTATTTCATTATAACTGTTATGTTATATTTGTCTGACCTACAAGTGCCTCTTTAATGTAAATGTAAGCAAGATGACTGAATGATCAAAAGCAATGTCAAACTGGCCAAAACACTCAATTTCAGTGGGGGTTGAATAATTTTGGCCACAACTGTATTTTGCATCAATTGTAGGTCCGATGTATATTTAGACATCTTGTTTAGAAGTTTTTCCTTGTACTGAATATCAGTGTGTGCATCAGTGGAGGACAGCTTTGTGCTTGGGTTCTCTCTGACTGATTTTTCCTACAACCTTTTAGGCCTAATACACACTGGATGTTTTTATCGCTGCTGTTATGGGCACTTGCATATTGTCCTATATGCATATGTACTGATAAGCGTTTAAAGGAGTTTAGAGGCAGGGGCAAAAAAAAAAACCCCCACTGCCAATGTGTCAAGGAGCTGCATCATTGTGGCAGAAAAATGCTTGACATGAAAAAAGGCATGTAAACAAATCAAAACGCGCATTAAAGCTAGGCACGTCTAGCTCTTGAGGCAGCAATTCATTGTAATGGCCATAATATCTTGGTATTATGAGCAATGAAATGAAGTAACTCCAAGTTTTTTATGTGTATACTGTAAATGTGCCTAAACACGTTACACGTGTTTGCAAGCTTCAAGCATTTTTTCTGCCAAATTGCTCCTGCCAAGAGGAAAGAGACATCTAGGAAAGATGGGCACACGCAACGTGTATATGAGTCCTTAGTGCTGTAGTGCAGCAGAACAAGTAACATGCCATACTGTATGTGTTTATACTGTAAATATATATATATATATATATATATATATATTATATATATAAATTCTATAAATTCACCTACAGGTACAATATTTTGAGCTGCAAGCTGTAAATGTAAAAATAAATAAAAGAATAGAAAATGGCATACTTACCACCCAGAGCTATTTCTAGCAATAATAATGAAATGAATAGATAATCATAAAAATTGAAAAAAAAGCAGACAGTGAAAACTGTAGTGTTATTTCTCACTGGTGATCAGTGGATTAATGCCTGCTTACATTGATAGTTATTAGAAACTGTCCTTTTACATTAGTGGTCAGTGCAGTGTCCCCTTACATTGATGGTCCCTGGGAAGGCCATTTAGATTGGTGGTCAATGGGTGAAGGGTCCTCTCAGATTGGTAGTCAGTGGGAGAAATGTCCCCTTACACTGGTAGCTAGTGGGAGAAGAGTCCCTGTACTTTGTTGGTCAGTGGAAAAAATGCTTCTTACATTGGCGTTCAGCATGTTCCTTACAGTATTGTTCAGTGGGATAACTGCCCCTTACACTATGGGTCAGTGAGAAGAGTATTCCCTACATTGGTGGTCAGAATACTCCTTGCAATATTAGTTCATCAGAGAACTGTCCTCTAGTCTACAGTATTGGTTAGTGAAAGGACTGCCACATGCAATTTTGGTCAGTGCAGGATCGCCATCAGGGGGGGGGGGGGGACGACAGCTGATAAAAATGTAGGGGGCCCAGACACCCAGCAGGCAAGGAGATGGCAGGGGTGGGTGCAGGGAAGCCTAATGGTGCACTACAGAAGAGAAGCTGGCAGCTGCAGATTTGTGTCATTGCGCTTACACATCAAGCTCATTACTGACACCTCTGGCTACTTCCTGCATGTGCACTCCTTGTGTGTGTGCTGCTTGTACTGTATTGTGGACATTGATCAGCTGCTGCAGCTTCTCTCAGCGACTTGGGACTAGGAAGACCTCCTTTACAAATAAGGGTTGTGTGTACAAGTGAATGGAGGGGGCTGTTTGTGTATGGGGGGCAGAGCTGTGTGTGGTTTTACGAATGTGTGTATGTAGGGGGACTGAGTGTGTACAGGTGTGAGTGGGGGACTGAGTGTGTACAGGTGTGGGAGGGGCTAAGTGTGCACAGATGTGACATCACAATGATAAATTGATTGTGGGCCTGTGCTGTGACTGTCACTTTGTTGGATTGGGCTGTTTGTGATGGTCTCTTTGCTGCAAGGGGATGTCTCTTTGCTATATATAGGGATGTCTCTTTGCTATATTAGGATGCCTGTTTGGTGAATACATGGGGATATCTCTTTGCTTCATGGGGATGTCTCTTTGCTGGATTGAGCTACCTCTTTGCTGTACGGGGCTATCTCTTTATGAA